AAMCCCMMAKGGGGRCATCTWTAGTGGCCTAACTGCCTYAGTTTGAAAGAAGTRCATATAATGCAGTTTTGAGAAGTCAATATTACCATTAAGTTCCCTAATGAACAAATAATACACTGAAAATTTAAGAATAAAATTATTTTTCTTAATGATCAATGATTGGTTTTTGATATGTTCAATGTTGTTGAGAGCAGGTGTGTTGAATAGCAGTGTCTGGTGTTGGTACATTAAAAAAATTCAACTAATCAAAATTTTGCCTCTTGGTGTTTTGTTTCACCAATGCATTGCCAAAGTAGTGTTCTTGTTTTGTAAACATGCTCTTCAGGTACTTAATAACAAAGTGATTATAGTATAAAAACAAAAAATAGTGGGTAGAACTTTTGTCAAAAAATAGTGGGTAGAACTTTTGTCAAAACATTGAATATGAGAACTCTGCTGGCAATATTTTTAGTCTGGCTGAAGTAATTATTGATTTATCCCCTTTTTCATACCTTACCCATTTAAGTGATCTAACTATTTGATAAACTATGAAAAAGTGAATAATTAAGTATAACCATATTTATTTCGTGATAAAATTGTAATCAAGTCATTGTTATCATAATGTTGAAGTCTGAAAAAGAATATAAGCAATGTTTACCTTAGTTAAATACAATAGTTTAATATAGATATTTATAGTGGAGTGTTGTTTCAAACATCCTGCTGAAAAGATTCCTAATCAATCTTGTGTATTATAAACAGGAYGAAAGAATGTCAAGTAAAATGCATCTCCTATTGAATTCCTACCATCTGAAGAATTAAATCAKTAACAAAACACAGAAAGATTCTATAGATTTTTTTTATTATGAGCTATGATGTACAAATTAAAAATTTTATAATTTTCATTTTGCTGTAATTGTTTTGYTACAGAGTTTCCATTTATTGTTGAGCTGCTGTGTTTAATGTTTTTATTCATAAGATCTAAATCTAAATTTAAAGATAAAACTCTTTGAATCTGATGAAATGTTGCTTGTTAGCTTTTGGATTGAACTGTGGTAATTTTTGAAAATTGCTTCTGGAAACATCTGCAAAAATAAAAAAAACTAGTCCTCCAAAATTGCTTTTTTGTGCTTATAAAGAGTACTTGAAACRTCCTGGAATTTTGTAGTGAAAATGTGTAGCATGAACACTGAAGATAACATTGTGATGTGAATTATAATATAATAATTATTGATTGCAGTCGCTCAACATGTAATTGTAAATATCCTCCTATTTGTTGGCCATATTTTGTATCACTCATTGCGTGAGGATTATCTTAGATGTTTTTAAATGAATCTAAATTGGAGTCTGAATACTACATGTAGGATATAGTAGAGTATGACCTGCTGTTCCTATTTTAAACAACACAAACAACACTCAAAGCAGGTGTTGGTGATTTTAGTCCACTTGAGTTTTTTTATAATGAACATTGCCTGTGTGGTGATTTTCAAATTGCATTGCGTCAGTGAAGCCTTGATTTGCCAACAATACTGTTTGATTAYTAACATGAAGTGGTGCAAAGGGAATTAGTTGCTGGGAAGCTAAAAGCACACCCCCTTTATAGGGGGTGATATTAGGAACCGTCTCTGCACTTTCCTCTCCCTCCACTCCCCCCTTTACATGTACCCCCCCCCAATTGATAGATTTATAGCTATTATTTCTAGACAGTCTGTTTCATTATTTTTCTACTGAGAACACTGCTGCTCTGCCACTGTGATCTAACAGTTAGTTAATTCTATTAACAGTAAATGGGTATTTTTTATAGTTTGACTGAATCTCCAGGAGAAAACACCTTTGATGTACGATTGACACAAAGCCAGGGGCGWGTGCGAGTATGGGTACAGATACTGGATAGACATGATGGATCTTTTATTGTCCGCTATCGTCTGTTTGCCAGCTACAAAGATTTAACAATAGAAGTTCTGTACAAAGACGAACAGGTTGCCCAGTCTCCATTTRAATTTAAAGGTTTGTGAAGGAGAACTGAAATAATTATATTTAATTGTTACCTTCTACCTAACAGTTCTTACGTCAAAGGCTCCCTCATATCCTCAATAGCCGGGATCAATTACAACTTTATCAATTAACTGAGAGTTCCCCACTTATGCCCAGACTGCTATTGTACCAGCCATGACATTGCTGGGATTTAAATGGACTAGTGCATAATAGCCACGATGATAATAAG